TAATGTTGGGAATATACTTTTGCCATTGAAGATAATATCAGGTTTTGTCAGTTTCAGACATCCATACTTCAGATGTCCAATGAGATACTCAAATTAAAATTAGCTTTCCTTACATTTAAAAAAAGCTGACTCAATACTCACTTGACCTTTGAACCAACCTGACAAGATACAGGCACCCTCTATAAACAAATGTAATTTTCACAATATTCTAAGTAAAAAAAAACATTTTTTTTCAAAATCAATTTAAGTAATCATTAATTTAACTAATTTTTGATGATGTATACATTAAGTGAAATTTTATTATGTAATTGATTTACATAAATAAAATTGGTATTAATTAACAAATACTGGTAAAATTTTCACAATGTACAGTTGCTAATAATAATGATTGGCCACTTGTTTCTGTTTGGCAGCTAGCCAGTCCCTGCTGCAGCACCTGCTCAGGCACATTTGTGTTTGTTTGATATTAAAAGAGCAAACTTATGGTTTATGCTGCAGCTATACTCAGTGGATATTAGTTACAGTTTCTGAGAGAAAGAGAGTGAATGCATTGTCTGACATAATCGACAGTTTGAACAAAGCTAGCACACTCAAATCCTCGGTCACAATGACCAGTAAACTCAAACTCTCAGTCAAAATGATGAGTACAACCAACAACAAAAAATGTTGTCTACTCAATTTCATTCACAAGGCTTGTGTCAACCTGTAATATGGTTTTCAGGCATTTTCCAACAGTGTCATATTGTGCTGGGATTGCCTCCCCAGGCTAATAGCATGAAGTTGCTTCCTGATGAATCAACAATTATGAGATTTGAACCCAGATATTACAGTCAGAATACAAATGTCAGTTGTACTTAGTTTCATTTGTAATGTATATAAATACATACCACTTAGATACTATCACTGATATTTATATGATAAATATAGTATCTAAATTTCAGTTTTTAGTAGCAACATATGAGATAACTTATTTGATGATGTCAGATTGCATTATGTAACTTAATGGTTGTTCATCATATTGTAAATCTATATATATGTGTGTGTGTGTGTGTGTGCGTGTACACACACACACACATATATATATATAGGGCCTGAACCCCTCAACTAGGAGGGAGATCCAAACATGATTGGGAGCCCCAGACAGTGCTTTGTGATCCTTAGTATCTTATCAATATTTGCTTTTTTTCTACCTTCATTTATATACATTACAAATGAAACTAAGTACAACTGACTATTATTAAAGGATGAAAATTTGTTGTAGATTTTGACATAATTCTGTGTTCTTTTTTCTTTGTCCAATTCTGTGAATTTGTTTTGCTCATGCTAAATCTTGAAAAAAACACTCTATAAAATTCCCTATTTTTTTTTTTTAAATATTGAGTTTGTTAAAATTATTCAGCTTTTTAACAAGAAAAATCTCAAGTTGATGTTAAAAATTGCTGCAAAACATTTAAGATGAAATGATCTATTATGATATGTTGCTAATTTGTACTTAGATACATTGTATTTATTTCAAATTTTTCTAGTTGAATTGTTCACCGATATTGTATATGATCCATTATTCTACATAATTAGGTTAGAATAAAATTTAGATTTTCTACAAATACTATCTTATGAAAACTGAGATGTAGTAGAATAGGGGGCCCCATATCATAGATTTGGTCATAAGACCATTGCACCATATACATAAATATATATATATATATATACTCTACCTAGTCTCTTTAACTACAACTCTCACCCCCCCCCACTGTTAAATTACAAAAATTACATTACCCATCAATTTCTAATCCCATTTTTCCTTTCATTTCGTTGTTGGAATTGTTACCTGATGATCCGGAGTCCTTTAAAAAGAATTTTGGTGAAATAAATTATCGTAATGGTACCTTAAAGTGGTCTGTTTTTCATTAAATATTAGCTCTGTATTCACATTGAGCTCTCAGGATTTCATCCTCCTTGGAATTACCCATTCGGTTTACCAAGTTCTTTGTAACTTAACTATATATATATATATATATATATATATATATATATATATATATATAATACCAAAAATCTGTTTATTTTATATTCTAAGCTGCTTTTAACATATTTTAAGCTTTAGCTTTTATTCTTACTATTTGTTTGTGTGTGTGTATATATAAAAGATAAGATTAACAAGATAATGATCAAGATAAATGTGGAGAATTGTTGTAAGTTTTTAGATAAGACATTGTTTGACAAGTACAAAACTAGGAAGTTTTAATATATTCATGCAAGACAATGCTTCTTTGCATTCTGCAAAGCTGACACTTGCCAAAAAAAGGCTTAAAAAACAGCAAACTTATAAAAACAGATTTTTGACTCTACAGGTAGTAATCCAATAGAGAACTTGTGATCCATCATTAAAACAAAAACTCCAAAATGAAACTGCTCTCTTTTAATCATCTGAGAGAACTCTTTTTACCTTCCATCAGCGTGGTTGACACTAACCCCCAGGAGAGTGACTCATTGCACTTTTTTGGATTAATGTTTTCAGGTGACATGAAGTGGAAAGATCATATTGAATAAGTTGCTAGGTCTGCTGCTAGGAAAGTTGGTTCACTGTGTCAGACAATTTTTCTCTCCAGAATCTATATTACACATTTATAAGTCTACAATTCATCCATTCATTGAATATTGTTGCCACATCTCATCTGGTGCTTCGGCTATGTATTCAGAGATTCTTGATAAAGTACAAAGTAGAATCTGCAATATAGCTGCCATCTCAGCTTCACAAACACCATCATAACATGGCTTCCCTGTGCCTTTTCTATAAATATTGTATGGTATTGTTCTGATGAGCTTTCCACTATGGTGACTAGACTTTATAAATTTAAACACAGCACTAGAATAGTGGCAAGGTCTCATCATTTTACAGTTAAAATGTCTGGATGTAATCATAAATTATATGCTAATAGTTTCTTCTCTCACACTTCTCATTTGTGGAACTCTGTTATGACTTCTTGCTTTCCAGTCAACTTTGATCTTCAAAAATTTAAATGAAATGTCGATCATTATCTTCTGTCGTCTTAATTCTTATTCTTTTATTGTTCTTTCTCCTTAATATTGTTTTTTTTTCTCATATTCTCTCACACTCAGTAACCCCTTACTTATGAATGGCGTTATTGCCTTGCTTGGGGTGAAATGATTTTAAAAAATTAGATATATATAGGAATGGAAAGTAATATTTAAAGAAAATCTCTGGGAAGCAGAAAAATCTGTTACAAATAATGTTAAATTTGAAATAGGAGAACAGTTAATATAATCAATGGTTGAATGACTTTAGAGAATGTTAAAGAGCCTTAACATATAAATTATTAATTAATATATCCATTGATATGGGATATTGTGTTAAATATATATTTCTACGGTCTATATATTTTGGATTTATTTATAAATAAAAATTGGGTTTATTTATAAATAAAAATTGATATCTAACACTCCCAGTACAAGTTATTATCAATATTTTTAACAAGGTTAGATATTCTAAGCTGATTCACATGATATATTACTCATAGAAATATATTCTGAAATTTTGCCAACGTAAACTTAACTAATTTATGTGAAAATATTGACTTGCATAATAAAATCTGACAGTGTATATTTCTGTAACAACTACTTTATTTTTGGAATTTTTTAAAAATAGTGTTCATTTTTTTTTTCTGTCAGCAAGTTTAACCATTATGGTGAATTATTCCATTAAAAATAATTACAGGAAATTGTTATTCCTGCAAAAGTAAAACGAACTGGAAAAAAAGAGGATCAATTTTTTTTTAATGAATCTAATAAAAAAATTACTTAAGAATTTAAAAATGAATAATACACTGACATTATTTTTTTAACATTGATACTCCCCGTATAATTATCCGTATCGTATCCTTTTCTCTTTGAAAGTGATTTCTTGTAACAATCGCCATCTAAAATAATGAACTATTTAAAATTTAAAAATGCTGTTAGTGTTCTTTTGCAAGTGTTTTTCTACCAGTTGCATCATTTTTTCTTTCTTTAATGAAAAGAACTCTAACTAATTCTCTACAAATATAAAAAAGAGTATGGAAAATATTTTAAAATTTAAACATTAAAAAAGGACTAGAGCCAGAAAAAAAAAAGACGATCCGGTCCGGTCTTCCATTGTTAGGTGATATATCTTTGTACGACACCGCTTTGAAAAGTAAACGCAACATTCGTCGCTCGTCAGTCAGCAAGGAACATGGCTAATCACGTTCTCAATGAAAGAAGGACAATGATGAATATTTGTTTCAGTCAACGTCGCTTTGTTTAGCTCTGCTTCCAGTTTAATCGTCAGCTCATAGTCACATGGACTACTTAACTTATGAAAAAATTGTTGTAAAAAAATATACCCGCGATCGATTTATTGATTTAAATTATTTTTGTCTGCTAAAAAAAAATTGTGTGCTTTTTAAAAGTTCATAGTTTTTTGCCAGAAGATAAAAGTGAATTTAGAATTAAGTTAAGTTACTAGTTGTAAGTTGTTAAAAAAAGGGTTTGGTTGTATTTTAGAGTTGTAAACAAGCTGAAAAACTTAAACAATGATGCCTTTCTTTTCATGATAAATTGTTAAAGTGTTGATAATTTATTTATTTTGTTACACTTTTCTTGATTGTGTCGAACTGAGTGTAAAAATTGTAAAGTATATGAGCTCGTTAAAAAAAAAAAAATCTGAGAAAACGCAAACAATCGGCACATTGAATAATTGAACCTTCTCCCTCCATCCAAAAAATAGGTGTGTAACAATACACAACTGTGAAATCTGAAGGTATATTGCACAAATAATGGATCTTTTGCATAATATCGTAGCCTACCTTGACGATCCATATTTAGTTGCAAATTTTCAAAGTCTCTGTGGATTAACCTTAAACACTGACGACACAAAAAACAATTCGGACGACGACGCGATCTACGGAATCAGTGGACTCAGTAACCCTTCAATTGTGTTTAGGGACAAAGACGACCCCAGAATGATTTCCTACGAAGAACAAAATGGGGAAATTGTCCAACAAAATGATGAAGAAGATGATCAAAACTACATGAAGAATTCAGGTGAAACTGGTTCATTAACTCCTACCAGTAGCACAAACAGAATTTGTGTCCAAAGAAGAACAAATGCCAACACCAGTGAGATCAAAACAGAAATCAATGATGATATAGTTAAAACTAGTCACCAGAACGGGGATATTCCCGGTAAAAATAAAAACATGTCACCCTCAAAAAGTTCACGGGTCAAATGCCGACTCCCATACAAGATAAACAATAAAACACTTTATTATGTGTTTAGTTTTGGGGCCGCTTTGGGCAACGAACTATTTTATACAACTTTCTTTCCGTTTATCTTATGGAATGTAGATGCATTCATTAGTCGAAAGATAGTTATTATGTGGTGGATCACTCTCTATGCAGGACAAGCTACCAAGGACATTTTGAAGAGACCCCGTCCATTATCCCCACCGGTCATCAAACTGGAGGCACGATATGAATTGGAGTATGGTATGCCTTCAACTCACGCTATGGTCGGAACTTGTATACCTTTCACAATGTTATTCATCGCTGCTACCAGATATGAGGTGAGGAAAAATATTATAACATGTCTTGTTTTTATAAATGGAAATTTGAATAAAAAAAAAAACAACTTTTTTTTTAAAATTTCTTACAAAATATGGCATATTTTGCAATAAGGTTCATTGAAAACTTTTTTACAGCATCGTATGACTCATAAGTAAATAAAAGTTTTAAAAAAAGTGACTTAAAAATATTCAAAATCATTTTATTTTTATGGTTTTTATGACATTTTTAATTCTTTGGCCTTTCTTTAGTGTTGAACCAAGTAGCTAAAAATTTTAGGGACCAAAATGAAAAACGTGCTGTTTGTAAGGTTTCTGGTTCCCCTCCCCCCATTTTTCACTCATTTCAGTAGTTTTTTGATTTAAAGGAATTAAAATGTTTTCTCTGATATGAAGTTTCGCTTAATATTTCTTACTTCAAAATAGTGAATTTTTTTTATTGTTTATTAATCATTGTCAAAGAACATTTTCAAAAACAAAGTAAGCAAACAAATTTTATTAATAAACGTAAAAACACTAAACACCAAATTTCCTGTTGCAAAACAAAATTTGAAGATTTTGCCTGGATTTTATGCTTTTAAATTCTACAAATTATTAAAACACGAAACATGTGATTAATGTTAAATTGAATCGACAAATTGAGCAATGTGCAAGGGAGATAAGTCTAAATCCCAAAATATTGCATTTTAAATTCCTTTTTTTTTATTCATTTTGTTTTACTTTTCACAATGTATGTTTTGTTTACGATGCATGACATAAATTAATAAATCAACCATCAGTTAAATTTGAACACAGTATCACTCATCTCATTCGATTTGATGCGATAACTTGAATTTAAAAATAGTGTAGTTTGAAATTGCTTCATTAGGAAAATACAGCATAAAAATAATAAATAAAAACTGGAAGTATTTCAATTTCATATTGAAAATAATAACTTTCTGTTATTTACGTCTTCGTTAAAAGATTAGAGAGTAGTAGATTAACGATTTCAAAAGTTTTTCTAGAACGTTACCTGCAAGCAATAATAATACACGATGATTAAAAAATATCTTTTTTTAAACTTTGAGTAAAAAAAAAAAAAAAAAAAAATCCTATTTTCTGACCAAAAGACCTTTGTTCGATATCTTTTTTTTTTTTTTTTAACGGTGACCATATAAAATTAGGGATATTGATATAAAAAATTATAATCATAATCAAGGAAAAAATAACTTTTTGAAGAGTAAATAAAAATTTCTTTTTGACGCCAGATTTTATTTTTGAATATTTATTTGCATATTTTCTATTTAATTTATATTTTATATAATTAATTTCATGAAATAATTGTCCCATCCCATGAATGAGTATTTGAGTTATTGACTACTTCATTATGGAAAATAAAGAAAAATGCAATGAAAACATTTCCCCAGTTTAAAATTCAAATACAAAAAAATCCTTTTTCTGTTTAACAGTTGCACATTTACGTTTAAAACTTAATTAAAAACACTTTTTTTGTCTCTCGAAATCGTCAAAAAGCTCAAAAGAAAAACAGAAAACTGGAAAAACAACTGAAATTTTCATAAAATCAAAGCCTGAGAAATACTTCGAAAAAAATCAAGATTTATTTTCATTAAAATATCATTTTGCCTAATTGGATTTATTTTTAATCATGTTGCTTATTCATTCATTTTTGTTAAAATAAAAATTGACCTTTTTTTTCTTTGGAATTTGTTGTTTCTCTTCTCAATATTTTTTTTTTTTTTGAAAGTCAATTTCCATTTCACTCCCTTTGTTTAAATGATTGACTTTGTTTTTAGATTTAGTCGAAAAAGTTAAAAAATTGTTAAGTAAATTAATTTATTGATTTGCTATTAGTTTTTTTTTTTTAATTATTTTTAAGACACTTGAAATTAATTTTATTGAAATAGGCGTAAAAAAAAAAAAACAATTCTGTTGTTTTCTTTTGTTGGTGATTTTTCGTACTACTTTAGTGACGTAAAACTAAAAAAAAAGTAATCGAGTTTGAATTTTATTCAGTTTTAATTTTCATTGTCGTCTCCTAGGAGAGGATCCTTTTGTGAAAGGCATTTATCCGCACCCCCACTCGCACAGAATAGTCACTATGGGATTTCCTAACCGTAGCTTAGATGTGGCGCAGGGCTACAAGCATTGAAGCATCCAGTGAGGATCGAATTCACTCGTCGTAATGGATCTCTTTCTTAGCAAGACCTCTTTGCTAACCTTTAGACAGAGACCACGTCGAAATGTCCCACTGGCACATAACGCAAAAAGCTATGTGGATGAACATTATTATGACAATTACACAAAGAAAAAGAATCATTCTTTCTCCTTTTTTCATTTCATTTCTCTTTACAAAAAATGTATGGCACGAGAATTTGATAAAATTTGAGATGGGTTGGTGAGTGAGAATTTAGAGAAACCACTTTCCGATAAGTAGCTGCCTCAAAAGTGGAAGCAAAAATAAGTTATTCCCAAACCTTAGCATTTAACATTTGAATTTTCTTCTTGATGCACTTAAAAGATTTTTAGCTTTTCACAGAAAAAAATGGCAAATAAATTTTGAGGAAAATATACAAAATTTCACTGTAGTTTGCACGTGATGTTGTCAGTGACATTAAAAAAATATTCTCTCTTTTCTTTAGGAAAAGAAAACATGTTGCAAATTGATCTTGTTTTTAAAACTTTTTAATGGAAGTTTGGAAATTTAATATAAAAGGACAGAAAATAATAAAAAATAAAATAAATAAAAATTATAAAAAAAAGAAAAAAACTGTCTTCCATAAGGAAAGTTTCAAATTTACTGTCTTTTTCATAGATTTTTTTTCGTATAAAGATTAAGAAGAATCATTCGAGTGAAAATGGAATGAAATATTTTCCAAAAAATTATATCAATGTGTAAAGTGTAAACAAATATAAAATTTGTCACTTAGTTGATTGAGAGAGAGCAAGAATATGATTCATGAGAGTAAAAATGTTTTTGTCGGTAACTATCAATATATAATGTAATTTATTTCACATTTATTGACACTTTGAACTAAAACCTGAGCAAACACCTGCAGACTTGTCAGTGTTTGATACAACAAATGATCACACAACTTTTACTGAAACAAATGTTGATTTGATAACATCTGTTTATCAAGTCATAGCATTCAAAATTTAATAATTTAAATAACTAACATGTAAAGATTTCAAAGACATGTCAAAAATAGGATCAATTTAACCTGCATGTCTTGAGAAAAAAGCTACCAAAAATAAAATCTAAAATAAGGTTTTATAAATTTATTGAACATAGAAAAATAGATCATGAAATAAAAAAGGAGAATCTTCAACTTAATACTTTGGTTTGAATAAATTCAAAACCTTATTAGTTTGTAACCACATAAAGAGATAAATACAAAACTTTGCAACAGGTCATGGTCAGTCAACAAAAATTCAAGCTTGTCTACACAAATTTTTACAAAGCCTTGACTATAAATCAAATGATTCACTGACAACTGAAATATGTCAGCTTAATGTGGGGAAAATGACATTTACTAAAATGTATTAATTTTCTTTATATTGAACATATCTATTTCTATAAACATTTCAAATATTAGACTATTTTCTATGAAAAGATCTATCTACAAAAATCATACACCTTTATATACAAAATCTTCTAAAAATGTAAGTAAATTGCAGTTTTAAACTCAATAATTAAGTTTATTATATTAATTATACCTGTAACTAATTACCAAATCTGCTATAAGCATATCCTTTGTTCAGCAAAAAAAGGGATATTTCTCTTGGCCTAAATTACACATTTATAGTTTAATGTTAATTATATTTGCCATCTAAGAAATTATCTGTTTTTTATTTTGTAATACAAATTGTTAAAACAAATTCCAGTAATAACAATTTTATTTGATTTGTTTTGTCTATTTACATTATTTACAGTCAAACTAAAATCTTCATTTTGTTGTTGTTGTTATCACAGCGTTTCAGCCTTTGTGCCCTTTAGCCTTCTTCAGATATCTGTCAATCCAGGTAAACTTCAGGGAATTTTGAACTAAACCCTTTATCTAATATACTGGAATGATTGTTTTACTTCCATTATGTGTTAGGGTAACTAGTCTTGTGTTTTTATTTGTACTGTAGTTTAAAATTCCTATAATATACATATAATATTGTACATTAGTCCAATTGTAAATAATAACTATTCAACCCAGAAATTTAAACAGAAATTGTTCTAATATTAAACGTTTTTTCACATTTTTTTCCATATTTTAATACAATCTGTAAATTATATATATTAATAAATAAATCTGTTAATTATATATATTAATAAATAAACATTTTTTTCAGCATCAGCAGCATGACTCAGAGTAGTCATGTTATCGATGAGGAAAACATATATTTATTAATATATACTTCATAGCTCTGTTACATTAAATTGAGCGCTAATTTATTAACAGCACTCAAAGTGTGATATTATATAGTTTTAGAAGAAATATTTTTCTTCTTTAGAAAAAGGTAAATACTGTGTCTCTGTCTGGAATAAGGACAGACTTTAGAGAGAAATGACAATTTAGCCATCCAAAGTATTGATTAACTTTTAAAATTTGGTAATGTGTTGACAAATGATACATTCTAATAATTTTCACTTTTCTTTTCTCCTACACACATGTGCAGGACATACCAGAAGAAAATAAATATTTGCTTGTATTGTTAAAAAAAAGAAAACTTTGGTATAGAAAACAACTGATTTCAATACTTAAAAAAAATGCATGCACCACAGAAGGGAAACCTGTAAAGAAAAATGATTTTTAAAAACAAATCATTTCATTACGTTAAGTACTTCAATCTATTATTATAAAAGAACTAATTCTCTGTCCATCATGCATTGTCTGCTTGTGACTTTGCAAGCATGTGTATTGTAATGTATCAGCATATATGGGTATTGTGCATGAGTGATGTACATAAGCTTTTGCAGATAATGTACATACAAATAGATGCACACAATTTGACTG